GACAGACAGAAAAATATAAAAAAAATGTGTTTTTCTTATAGGCACCGTTTAAACTTCCATATGCCTTCAGTAAAAAGCTGTTATTTTGACATTTCAAACGGACACTTTAATTTTATTTATCTGTATAGATGTCAAATATTCGCGAATATCTAATAGTCCAATCGGAATACGGTTTGGGAACAAAATATTGTAAAGCTGAAGGTTTATGATTTTAAAATATTAGCAGGTATATAAGGAATAGAAACTCGTAAAATGCCTTCTCTGCCCAGCTACCCCCGAGACATGGGGGGACTTTTGTAGAAAACATTTTTCGAGAGAACATCACAGTAAGCCGGAAATTAAAAAAAAAACTATTTTTCAACACTTTGCGTCCCCCCATTTCTCAGGTGTAGCTGGACAGAGGGGGGGCTTTTTACGAATTTCTATACCTTATACATATACCTGCTAACATTTAAAAAAATCATAAAACTTCAGGTTTTCAATAAAAAAAATCTCTTAAAAATAAAAGGATTTCGATTGGTCTATAAGCATTTTTAATACTAATAAAATATCGCTTATCATTTGTAGAATTTAAAAAATGCAAGTTATATTATGCACTAATAGTCGTATAAAGATAAAATCTATATACGTACATATAATAAAACGGTAATTTAACGAAATTTGTACTTGAAATATTTTTTAAAAACAATGACTGTAATGTATTGTGTAAAGAATATAGACCCAGAATAATATTTGTTCAATTTTTGTCTGTCTGTATATATGTGCGCGTTTCACCTAAAAAGTACTGAACCGATTTTAACCAAATTTTGTGTAGTGATAACTTATTACTCGGGTCAACATTTAGGATACCTTTTACTACAGGTAAATACGATAACTGGTTCTGTCGAGTCGTCTTTAGAGATTTATATGGCTAACGCTGGCTAAACCTTAAGAGATACATCAAAACAATGTACTAGAAAATTGTAGGTCTTAAAAAGGCCTACAGAAAAGTCCGCAGTTGTATATGTCTATCTCTTAAGGTACACTCGCAATAACTATTTAACTTAAGGACGTACGTGAGTCGTTATATATAAATAAGTCTATATACACACGAGTATAAATAGGCAAACTCAAAATAGTTCAATACCTTTTCGCGTCTGTTTGTCAATAGATTTTTCTGTTTAGTAGTTATTGACGATTAGTTAGTGTTATCAATAAAAAAAATTGAAAACAGTTTTTTTATATATTATATAGGTAACTATCAGAACCCGCGGCTTTGCTCGCGCTAAAACTACAAAAAATCTAAAAAGGTAGTTTCACAAACTTTTATCCTCTATTTTACCCCCTTATAGGATGAATTTCGAAAAAATGCTAAAAAACGTTTATTTTTTTTTAATTTTATTGAAGAGCATTAATACCAAGTTTCAAGTAATTCTGATCATGAATATTTTTTTGTGATTATATTTTATCGTGTTTTCCCGTATGAATGAGATAATCTCCCGCGGTAAAACTATGTCACTCTCCAGCCCTCCAACAGCCTCCACACAAAAATACACGCCAATCCGTCACTCCGTTTCGACGTGAAAGAAGGACAAACAAACAAACATACGAACACACTTTCACATTTATAATATTAGTATGGAAGTATGGATTCTATTCATATATGTTTTCCTAAAATTTTCAATACCTAAAACTAATGCTCGAATTTTGACCACTAGACGAACGATAGTGTGTATACCAACCTTAACATATATATCACTAGCATTGCCCGCGGCTCCGCCCGCGTTCAGATGACCAAAAACTAAATTCTTAGGTGTTACATATTAGTATACTCTTACATTGCAGTTTTTGTATTTTTCCTCAGAAATAAGATATTTTCCCGCGGTAAAAAGTATCCTAGGATCGCGCGCTACATCGCCCGGTTTATATAGCTTGAGCAGGCGGTCGAGCGATGCGGGGCAGAGGGGATGGACTCGCCGTAGGCATCTCAATGCTCGCCAAGCATTAAAAATGTTTCGCTACTAATTACTTCTAACAACGATATCTCAAAAACTATTCATCTGATTGATTTAGTGTAAAGAGCAATTTTAATCTGCATTAAATGACTAAGCTAACTAAAATATTCATTTGGATAAGGATTAATACCGAACTAAAGAAAATAACTTTGAAAATAACGTAATGTTTTTAATTAAAAATGTTAACATGAAAGTGGTTATTGTAAGTCAACCGTAAGAGATAGAGATATGCTATCGCGGACTTTTTTGTAGCATTTTTATAGATTTTGAATTCTCTAGTACATTACTTAACTGTATCTTTGCTAGTTTACGCGGCGTTCGCGTGGAAAGTTCCCATTTGGCGAGATTTTTTGCGACCTCTTCAACATTTGTCGCCGTATTTCAGCTAATTTACATAAAAGCATAATAAATTATATACCTAAACCTTCCTCAAGAATTACTCTTTCTATTGTTGAAAACCGTATAAAAATCCGTTCAGTAGTTTTCGAGTTTATCGCGTACAGACAGACAGGAGGACAGACAGGAGGACAGAAAGACGCGGCCGGGGGACTTATTTTTATAATAAGTATAGATAGATGGTAACAGATATGGTATTTAGGTCTCGAAGCCGATCTTGCACGAGCAGGATATGTATGGCGTCGCACTAGTTTTTTCTATAAAACGGGATACGACCTTATTGTTAATGTTTCTTACTATGATATACGGATCTACCGTTAGCCGATTTCGCAAAAGGAGGTGCTATACAAGTGCGAGTTAAGATAACTGAGAATTGCTAATCGATTTTCAAGATTTGGACTACTATCTATACATATCTATAGATACATATAATAAAATTGTAACTAAGCCAAATCTGTACATTACATATTTTTTTGAAAATCTTATTGAAATAAACATTATTATCGATACAGAGACCGAATCTATAGTTTTTAAAATTTTTGTCTGTCTGTCTGTTACCGCATCACAGAAAAACCACTGGAGGGATTTTGATGAAATTTACTATGTAAGAGTATACTAATATGTAAAACCTAAGAATTTGGTTTTTGGTCATCTGAACGCGGGCGGAGCCGCGGACACTGCTAGTACCTAATAAAATTCTAACTGAGTCGAATCTGTACATTAAATACTTAATGGTAAATCGTATTAAAATAGTCATTATTGTCGATACAGAGGTCGAATGTATAGTTTTTAGAATTTTTGTCTGTCTGTGACTACATCACGAAAAATCCACTGGACAGATTTTGATGAAATTTGGTATGATGATAGCTGGTTATCCGGGTCAACATATAAGATACTTTTTACTGCGGGAAAATATCTCATTCCTGAGAAATCTATCCTAAACGTCAAAACGTAACTAATTAATATTTAAAAACATTATTGACCCGCCCTCATTAGGGTCACGCTTAACGACTTGATAACGAAATGTCCTTATTTCCCATATTTTCTATAAATATAGTATGTATTCTATAAGCAATCCAGTGGTAACGCGCTTGGGAAACCGAATGAAACAGGTTCAAATCCTGCGTGTCGCATTTGATATTCTTATGTGCGGATCATTTCCAACATGATCACCACTTGTCTTACGGTGAAGAAAAACATCGTGAGGCAACCTGCATGTCTGAGAGAACTTAGCAAGTTTCGACAGAAATTTTTTTTATTCGTTGGGGAAACCCATCATGGGGTCCCTGCCGGCCGTCATAACGGGCAAGTTACTGTGAGACTCCTACTCACTAAAACCCACAGCGGAACCCATCGCCGCAGTGCAATGGGGCGTTGCAGGATCGCTTGCGCACACACTACAACACCCCTGCGGAGGTTTCGACAGACATGCTCAGACCGCCCGCACTAGGCCAGCGTGGCAGACTATGGCCAGATCCCACTTGTATTAAAGGGAGGCTCACCCTCAACCAGTGGGATGTTAAAAAAGGACTGAATACATGTACTTTAGATATAAAGTTTCGGAGAAAAACCCTTAATGATAGTTCAAACTGTATCAAAATCTGTTACATTTAAAACTTAGCGCACGAACAGACAGACATTCGGTGAATTAAAATATAGGATCTTTTCGGGCATCAACCGCTATTTATACTAATGTTATGAAGAGGCAGAGTTTGTTTGTTTGAACGCGCTAATCTCAGGAACTACTAATCCGATTTGAAAAAATCTTTTTGCATTACATAGCCCGTTTATTGAGGAAGGCTATAGGCTATATATCATCATGTTACTACCCAAGGGAGAGGAGCAGTGATCATAAATGTCAACAAATCGGGCAGTCTTCCATACATTATTACTAATAGCATAAAGCTAGAGTTTTTATTTTTGAGGTTTTAGCGCGAGCGAAGCCGCGGTTTTCACTAGTTTAAAGATAAGTTAAACAAAAACAAAGCACTCGCAAATTGTATTTATTTAATAAACTTAAAATAATGTACTTTAAACTAATACTTTGTTGTTATTATATGTTATTGAACTATAATAGATAAGACTTTGCCATTTTTTGTTTGTCTTTTCTGGTTTTACTCATCTATTAATATTATATATGCGAATTTCTTTTTCTATATTAATATTTTAAAGGGGAAAGATTTGTTTGTTTGTACTGTATAAGGTCCAAAACTGCTGGACCGATTTAGATGAAATTTGAAAAGAAGATAGTTAGAGACCCTGGGAAGGATATAGGATAGTTTTTATCTCTTAAGGGGTAGAAAATGGGGATGAAAGTTTGTATGGGAAAGAACCTAGGGAAAAACCTGAGCGAAGCGATGGTGAGTCGCTAGTCTAAAATAAAAGTGGCCTAAGTTACTGCTTATAACATTAGTCAAAATCAGTCCAGCCGTTTGAGAGATTATCCAGAACAAACAGGCAGACAGACGAAAATTTTAAAAATTGACTGTTTCTTATAAGTACCGTACGTATGTAATGTCGTATGCATTTAGTAAAAAGCTATTATTTTGACATTACACACAGACACTTCAATTTTATTTATCTGTATAGATTGTATTATTGTTCCAGATAATGTTATTACTGTTGCTGATATTTGCAGCAGGCTCCCTGGCCGTACCGTTACAAGACAAATGCGGATATGAGGTAAGATGTGTATGTTGTTATGTCATGGGATATCTTAGAAGAACATGGTGTACTACATATTCCTCTTTGCCATGATATTTTTCTATCACACCGGTGGTTGCAAGTTTGATTCCCCAGCGTTGTTTACTGATATATATATATATATATATATATATATATATATATATAATGTATATATATATATATATATATATAATGTATATATATATATATATATATGTGTGTGTAAAATGACTATAGACTAAATAATATTAGGTAGGTATGTTCCTTCATCAACCTATTTCATCTTTTTACGCCATCGAGTTTTTTTTTTAATTTTTGTAGTTTACTTATTTTTTTTATTATTCACATTTTCACCTTTCGGAATCTGCTCTAAATTTTCCTGTATTTAAAAAAAAACACTATTTATAACCGCTTTGCTGTTATCGTACTTGACGTGAAGTAACAAACATAAGTAAGTTTATCTACTGATAAATATGACCTTTAAACTTTGAGAAGCACAGTACAGTTTAAATATACATATATACATATATACATATATATATATATATATATATATATATATATATATATATGATTATGTACATTTATTGTTGGCTTTTGTCTACGTGTTCATTTCTATCGCAAATATAAGTCGCACCGTTCGCCGTCTGTTTGAATATCTATATTAATACTATAAAGAAACAGAGTATGTTTGAACGCGCTAATCTCAAGAACTACTGATCCGATTTTCAAAATTCTTTTTTCATTAGGTAGCCCTTTTTGAACTATTGTATTACTCTTTATTAAGCCTATTACAATATACGAGAGTGCTTAATGTGTCAGGATAACATTTACTCTTTAACAGATTTCGGCCCATATCATATTTATATAAGTACTTAACAAGCGACTCCATTTCTTGATTTATAGCTAAGAACACTCTCAATAAAGTTATCTCTCAAACAACAAAAAAACAAACAAAAAACAAATGTGACACGAAGGTATTCATTATAGAGTTCCACTTTCAACCACCAAGAATTTTTATGTCCAAAATTTTAAGTATAGGTGACTTTCGAGTTCAGAGAAAAAAGTTCCTGCATTTCTTCCTAATTTTCATCGAAATCCAAAGCAATCGGAACAATATATTTTTATTTCAGAGCTGCACCCAAGCAGAGCCGGGTGTCCTCAATGTACACATCGTCCCACACACACACGATGACGTCGGCTGGTTGAAAACCGTCGACCAATATTACTATGGCAGTAAGTTCTTCATTTTAGCCGACTTAAGCAAAAGGGTATTTTATTTTTCTGTGTGTTACACGATTTCTTCGCTGATTTAAGGAGTGTCTTTCATCATCCCTCATATCTAAATCTAACATATTATATATTAAACTAGCACTGCCCGCGGCTCCGCCTGCGTTCAGATGACCAAAAAACAAATTCTTAGGTTTTACATATTAGTATGCTCTTATATTGCAGTTTTTGTATTTTTTCTCAGAAATGAGATATTTTCTCGCGGTAAAAAGTATCCTTTATGTTGACCCGTATAACCAGCTATCATCATAACAAATTTCATCAAAATCCCTCCAGTAGTTTTTCTGTGATGCGGTAACAGACAGACAGACAGACAAAAATTCTAAAAACTATAGATCTGGCCTCTGTATCGATAATAATGTCTATTTCAATAAGATTTTTATATTATTATATTATACTAGCGACTCACCCTTGCTTCGCTCGGGTTCGTCCCTAGCTTGCTTCCCACTACTAACTTTAATCCCCATTTTCACCCCCTTAAGAGATGATTGCCGGGATAAAAAGTATCCTATGTCCTTCCCAGGGTCTCAAACTATCATCTTACGAAATTTCATCTAAATCGGTTCAGTAGATCCAGAGATTACCCCCTACAACGTCACAAACTCACAATCTCACAAACTTTACCTCTTTATAATATTAGTATAGATGTATAGATGATTTAATTATCAAAAATAATTCAGGTCGCAACAACATTCAGAAGGCTGGCGTACAATACATACTAGATTCTGTTATTAAAGAACTATGGCAGGACCCGAAAAGAAGGTTAGTTTAAATATTTATAATATTTTTACGCTTATTTCGTCATAAAGCTTTCAAAGAAGTAATATGTAATATGTATCTATCTGTGATATGTCTTACAAATCCACCTTAACATATCCTTCATAACATATCTTGTTTTTACTTTTTTTAATTCAAAATTCAAAATATTTTATTCAGCATTAAATTATTACAATTTCTTACTGAACGTCACGATTCTACTACCAGTTCGGAAAGAAGAAGCCTCAGACCTGAGAAGAACTGGCGAAAGAAACTCAGCGGGACTAATATTATTTCATTATCTATTTTTTAATAAAGTTAAATTATAATTTACAATATGTATTTCTATCAAGTTGAAGTAGTCTGGAGGCGATCATTTCATTCCCAAGGTGTGCCATCTTCTATAAAATCATTTATTGTATAATAGCCTTTAGCACACAAACGTTCTTTAACATTTTTTTTTAAATTATGTTTGTGTATGTATCATTAATGTTAGGGAATGCATTTACGCATACCACCTACATACATACAGGTTATGTAGGACTCACCGGCTGGAGAAGACAGTACCACCCACTAAAACCCAACAGAACATCCGTCTTAATGGGACGTCGCAAGATCGTTTAACGCATTCAAGACTTCGCACCTGGCTGAGCCTAATGAAATGGGTTTAGTTCAATCGGTTTATAAATAAAAAAAGTTATATATATTTGAATTGTCAAAGAATCAGTAATACTATATCTAAAACACAAACTCACTTAGACCTAGGAACTTTTAAGATAAACCTAAAATGGACCCAGTTATGCAAAAAACAGCCATGTGCGTAAAAGTACCAACAGAGTTATAAGCATTTTTCTGTCGATAGTTGCACTTGCGTTATGTTTTGTTTTTCTGGTTATTTAATAATTGAACAATATTTATATAAGTATTGTTTATTTTTTATAATTATTTTATTCTTTACAATAAAATGCTTATAACTCTGTTGGTACTTTTACGCACATGGCTGTTTTTTGCATAACTAGGTCCAAATATCCCTTCCCAGATTCATTTACGTGGAGACAGCGTTTTTCTGGAAATGGTGGATGCACCAAAGTGATGATGTGCGTCACAAAGTCGATGTCCTGGTGAGGCAGGGCAGGCTGCAGTTTGTTGGCGGGGCGTGGAGTATGAACGATGAGGCCGCCTCACACTACCAGAGCACTATCGACCAGTTCACCTGGGGGCTTAGGTAAGTTTTGTTTAATACTTTCTTATTCTTAGACTAGCTGTGCCCCGCGGTTCCTCACGATACTTTCCTTAATCGTAAGACAAATGGTGATCATGTTGGGAATGACTAGCACATGATAATATCAGAGGTGCGAGACGCGGGATTTGAACACGCTTCAATCGGTTTCCGTTCCGATGTGGACACGTTACCATTAAGCTACCACTGCCTTACTAAAAAACAGCTATTAAAATAAAGTATTAAAGATTTTTTTTTAATTGTCATAAGATATAGATTTGTAACAAAAAGTCATAAATTAATTATTATTATTATATATTTATTACAGAAAACTCTTCGAAACCTTCGACACGTGTGGTATCCCACGCGTGGGATGGCAAATCGATCCATTTGGGCATTCTCGTGAATTTGCCTCTCTTTTAGCGAATATGGGATACGATGGGTTGTTCCTGGGTAGGATAGATTATCAGGATAAGATGGCGAGGTTACAAGGGAAAAATATGGAGATGCTGTGGAGAGGAGATGATGATTTAGGTAGGTATAATTATATTTTTGACGACACGTTTGGCTCAGTCTGTAGTGACACTGCTTGCTGTGCCAGCGGTCGCGGGTTCGAATCCCGCTGGGGGCAATAATTTGTGTGATGAGCACGAGTGTTTGTACTAAAGTCATGGGTATTTATATATATAATATGTACATTGTATATATTTAAAGTTATATATGTGTAGTGTATCACCTATCTGGTATCCATAACACGGGCCTCGTAGCTTACCATGGAATTAGATGCTGCTGTGTGTTAATGAACCAAAGGTTCTTGTATCTGTGTTTGTTATTAGTAGGAATGTATCTAATAAGTTCGCGTTTTTATAGATAAGTTTGGAATTTTCTAGAATCTGTGATTCTTATCCTGATGAATCTGCTCTCTATCAGCTTTAATTGTTTATTTTAGTGTACCACTTTAGGGCACCATGATACTCATATAAATTGTTTAAATATCATCTATCCAATATAACAGGTCCATTGCGCGGCTTACTTTGAAACAAAATCAAATTAGCGGCGGGTTGCTCATTGCAAATACAAATTTGAGCATTTGTCTATTAAAAATATTCGAAGACTGATAAATCTATGATAATAGACAATTTTTTTTGTATATAATTATGACTTTATCGAAAATATAAATAGCCAAAGACAAAACAGTTTAGTACTTTATCTACTTTGTTTGTCAAACGATTTTCTTTTTTTTTTGTTTTAGTAGCCATTAAGGAGCTTTAGTGTTACCATTAAAAAAAACTTGCTTTTTATTGTTTTAGTCAAAAATTAAAAAATCCGAATGATTTTACTTCAAGTTTAACTATTTTTAATTTTTCCACCCCAATTTCAGGTAAACCCTCAGATATATTTACTGGAGTACTGTACAACACGTATTCGCCCCCTCCTGGTTTTTGTTTCGACATTTTGTGTGACGACGAGCCTATTATAGACGACCCGTACTCGCCCATGTTCAATGTCGATAGTCGGGTGAGTATCTATTGTATATATAAAAACATACATACACATTTACTAACATATATATCTCTTCGGATTATTTCGCGGATTTATTTTGATTTTTGGTTAAAAATGTCAAACACTCGCGTAAATCTAAGAAAGTATTAACATATATCTCTTCAAAAAGTGGCGTCGATATATGACGTTAAGTCAAACCAAAGAATAACATTCAAATATCGAAAGTTCTAATTATCTAAACACAAATTCGAACTTACGCACACCACATATAATACTTTTTTAAACGAAACAACGTGCGTTTTAATTTTGTCATCCGAAAAGCAATAAACAAAAATATTTGAAAAAAGCGCAATTCAATTTCGAATTGTGCACTTCTTTTTGAGGACACTTTTGAGACGATAATTGTGTAACTTGAGTATTTTTGTATCAATGCTATTGTATACATTTTTTAAGCCCGGATGCAAAAAAAAAATAAATCAAAAAAAGGTTTTATGTTTGTATCTGTCTGTCTGTGGCATCGTAGCGCCTAAACGGATGAACCGATTTGAATTTAATTTATTTTGTTTGAATTGTTAAGTTTTCTTAGTAAGCTGACTTACACAGTTTATAAAAATTTAAATATTGCTTAGTGAGCTGCCACCTTTATATTTATTAATTTTCATAATCCAATTAAATTAATTTTTACCTTAGGTTAAAATTCAATTATAAATATTTTAATGATTCAATTAATTATTAGTTTTTACCTATGATTCATTTTGATACTGGGTTCACATAATACTTTCTTAGATTTACGCGAATGTTTGACATTATTAAATAAAACTATCTTTTCGGATTATTTCGCGGATTTATTTTGATTTTTGGTTCCCGACGTTTCGAATGCTTTACAGCATCCATGGTCACGGGAGAGACTGAGGTGTTACATGTCTTAAAGATATAGTTGTTACAGACAGCCTACCCACAATCAACAAATGAAAATTGCACCAATTACATTACAATATTTTAACTTTAAACATTTTTATAATTTTAATTATAATTGAATATGGAAAATTATTTATTTAATTTTTGCTATTATTTTTATAATTATTACAATTTTAAAAATATTAATTAGTAATCTATATTTAGTGTTGCCATTATTATATTTATAACCATAAAGAAAAATATAAAATATAGTATTAATTATTTAAGCCATATAATTGTTCAATGTGTAATTTAAAAAGTTAAAATTAATTAAGGATTATAATTTTAATTTAGTTTGCTATTATTTAAAAACAACTTACTAAGCAACACTATTAATATATACTTTTACAAATGAAAAATGAAAAATATCAATCTGATAAGCTGTCATTTTGATCTACACAGTATGAACTTACTACATCTGCTTGTCTGTTATGTTTATATTTATTATTTGATTTTATTATATTAATAACAGGATCCCATGACGATGGTAGTACCCAGCCATCTTCCCTATTGAAATTTGGATGTTTTTTAATTTCTATGGCTTCTCGAATCATTCTAGGGCGATATCGGTTTTCTTTCGCCAAGATTTGAGGTCTATCGAAACGAATATAATGGCTTGGGCGGTCCTGGCTATGTTTGTAGACAGCAGATGTTGTATTGCGACGGTGCTTCACATCAGCTATGTGTTCTTTGACCCGGGTTCTAATGGATCGCTTTGTTTGTCCAATGTAAGAGAGCCCACAATCACAATCAAGCTTGTAAACTCCTGCATCTTGTAGAGGGATGTGGCACTTGACAGGTGGTAAGAACTGACTAATTTTCTTTGGCGGCTTGAAGTAAGTTTTAATTGAAGCTCGCTTTAGAATGTAGCCAATCTTGTCAGTGACTCCTTTCATGTATGGCAAGACTGCAGGGACGCGCTCGACTGTGACTGGTTTTACTCGGTCACTGTGACGCAGGCGCGGCACTTGCAGCTTGTTGTCACGCAGAACTTGCTTGACATGTTGCAGTTCTCCGGCCAGGTGTTGCTCGTCACAGATCCCGCGCGCTCTCTGAAACAAAGATTTTCCCACGGTAGCTAACTGTGAAGGATGGTGGTGAGATTCACCGTTCAGGTACCTATCAGTATGGGTCTTCTTTCTATACACAGTATGACTCAAGGTGTTATCTGTGTTACGTTTAACTAATACATCTAGGAAAGCTAAGGTATTGTCTGATTCTAATTCCATTGTAAATTGTATTTTAGGATTTATAGAATTAAGGTGTTCTAAGAATACAGTTATTTTATCAGATGGTAATATTGTGAAAGTGTCATCTACATACCGCTTGTAGAAACGAGGGGTCACGGGTGATGTGTTCAGAGCAGTCTCCTCGAAGTCCTCCATGAAGATGTCGGCTACGACGGGGGAGACTGGCGAACCCATGGCCACTCCATCCACTTGCCTATAGAATTCACCATTCCACAGTAGATAGCCAGATGTTAGGCAGTGTTTTAAAAGTTCAATGTATTCTATTGACATGTTGTGATCTAGTAGCTTCCTAGATATTATTTCAATACAGTCTTCCACTGGTAGGCTGGTAAATAAAGACTGTACATCGAAACTAACCATTGTTTCATTGTCCATGAGTTTTAGGTGTTTAACTTCATTGACAAAATGGTAAGAGTCCTTTGTGAACGCTCTTGTTAATCCTCTGAGTGGTGAGAGTACTTTTGCTACTAGTTTAGCCAATTTGTAAGTCGGCGAGTCGATCTGACTCACAATTGGACGTAGCGGAGCGTTAGTCTTGTGTATTTTCGGAAGTCCATACAACTTAGGTGGATTTGCACATGATGGAATAAGATTTTTAACATCAAGATTTAATATGTCGGAGTGTTCCTTAATTAGCTTTTTAGTATTATTTAAAACGGTGGTAGTTGGATCCGTTTTAACCTTTTTGTACGTGCTCTCGTCCGACAAAAGTTGTTTTATTTTATCATTATAATCTGATGTATCCATCACAACGGTTGCATTTCCTTTGTCTGCGCGTAGAACGGTGATGTCTGACCTATTGCGTAGGTTCTTCAACGCTAAATACTCTTGTTTATTGAGGTTTGGTTTGGGCCTAGTACTACGACGTAATAAAGACGAAACATCTTGACGTATGGCCTCCATATCCTCAGTTTTCATAATGTTTTGGGCCAGGGCATCTTCAACTGCGCAAATAATGTTTTCATAAGGAATGCGCGTAGGCGTTACAGCAAAATTCAAACCTTTATTTAGTACCCGAATAGTAGGTTCGTCCAACGTTTGTTTTGACAGATTGACAACAGCCTGAGGTCCGCACGAGTGTGTATCTGTGGTAGACGGGCGCGTTCCGTTACACTCTATGGTTTTCTTTTTCTTTTTGATGTTTAATTTTTCAACGAGTTTTTGATATTTTAAAATATGTTTAATTTTGCACTGATTATATTTGGTTGTTTCACGCTTATTTAAAGTGTCAATGCAATCGTTGAAATCAGATGGTGTCAATACTGTCTTAACAATATTAGACGTCTGTTCAATGTCCCGGTCGTTTCTGCGTAGATCGCGGCGATTTTGTCTAATCACTGTCCGTAACAACTTAAAACTTGCCTGGTTTACGATCTTAGCGCTTCCTCGTATGTTCTTTTTGGAAGATATTTTCACACACGTAGGAATGAGACGATGATCACGACATCTCTTCAAGAAAGTTAACGATGTTAATAATCTTGCGCGCTTTGTCTTTAGATCTTCTAACCGGCGTATCTTGTTTGCGGTTTCCAGTCCGTACTGGTTCACATAATACTTTCTTAGATTTACGCGAATGTTTGACATTATTAAATAAAACTATCTTTTCGGATTATTTCGCGGATTTATTTTGATTTTTGGTTCCCGACGTTTCGAATGCTTTACAGCATCCATGGTCACGGGAGAGACTGAGGTGTTACATGTCTTAAAGATATAGTTGTTACAGACAGCCTACCCACAATCAACAAATGAAAATTGCACCAATTACATTACAATATTTTAACTTTAAACATTTTTATAATTTTAATTATAATTGAATATGGAAAATTATTTATTTAATTTTTGCTATTATTTTTATAATTATTACAATTTTAAAAATATTAATTAGTAATCTATATTTAGTGTTGCCATTATTATATTTATAACCATAAAGAAAAATATAAAATATAGTATTAATTATTTAAGCCATATAATTGTTCAATGTGTAATTTAAAAAGTTAAAATTAATTAAGGATTATAATTTTAATTTAGTTTGCTATTATTTAAAAACAACTTACTAAGCAACACTATTAATATATACTTTTACAAATGAAAAATGAAAAATATCAATCTGATAAGCTGTCATTTTGATCTACACAGTATGAACTTACTACATCTGCTTGTCTGTTATGTTTATATTTATTATTTGATTTTATTATATTAATAACAGGATCCCATGACGATGGTAGTACCCAGCCATCTTCCCTATTGAAATTTGGATGTTTTTTAATTTCTATGGCTTCTCGAATCATTCTAGGGCGATATCGGTTTTCTTTCGCCAAGATTTGAGGTCTATCGAAACGAATATAATGGCTTGGGCGGTCCTGGCTATGTTTGTAGACAGCAGATGTTGTATTGCGACGGTGCTTCACATCAGCTATGTGTTCTTTGACCCGGGTTCTAATGGATCGCTTTGTTTGTCCAATGTAAGAGAGCCCACAATCACAATCAAGCTTGTAAACTCCTGCATCTTGTAGAGGGATGTGGCACTTGACAGGTGGTAAGAACTGACTAATTTTCTTTGGCGGCTTGAAGTAAGTTTTAATTGAAGCTCGCTTTAGAATGTAGCCAATCTTGTCAGTGACTCCTTTCATGTATGGCAAGACTGCAGGGACGCGCTCGACTGTGACTGGTTTTACTCGGTCACTGTGACGCAGGCGCGGCACTTGCAGCTTGTTGTCACGCAGAACTTGCTTGACATGTTGCAGTTCTCCGGCCAGGTGTTGCTCGTCACAGATCCCGCGCGCTCTCTGAAACAAAGATTTTCCCACG